GTGAAAGTTCGAGTCTCGATAACAGAGAGATTGCCCGAGTGTTTCTGTCGCAACTAGCTATTTAATTAATCGCTAATTTTCCAAAGATTCCACCTAATGAACCATATGGAAGGTGTTCGAGCATGGATTAGTCAGCGTTTCCACCCCCTCTCTCGATCAGCTTAATTAACGACGATCGCTTAATGGCCGCGCGTGACAGATTAGCCTCGCGCGATTAGAACGAATTAATTAAAAGGGAATCGCCTTTGAACGAAGCTGCTGGTAACTGGACACCGTGAAATCTATCGCTAGTTTCCGGGGGATAATTGAGCTATTTCTCCACGGCCATTTTATTTCTTCTCTCCTCCTTTCCGCTGGCTGTGTCTCGAGCAATTTGGCCGCGATTCTTAGTACAACTTCGGTCAACGAGAGAATATATTTTGGCAAAGGAACACGATTTTTTTCCACGTCGAATTAAAAGGCAATCTCTCTCTCTCTCTCTCTCTTACTCTTGACAGGATCTCCTCTGCAGCGCCTTCGATTCCTCCGCTTCCACTCGTCCATTCTTCTTCTCCCTCTGTCGTTGACACACGCAGAAACAATGGCGGTCGCGTTTTCCCTGCGAGAAAACGCGAGACACGCGATACGAAGCAGCGTCGAGGGGATGGATCTTCCGAGTTCGAAGAACGAAACAACGGGACACGTCGAACCGGGCAGAGAATAAACCGGAAGCGGCGTTGTACCAACGGCTGCTCAACGAGCAACGGCCGTTCTCTCTTCTTTTTTTTCTTTTTTTTTTGTCTCTTTCTCTATTTTTCCCCTCTTTTCTTTCCGCCTTTCTTCTCTTCTTTTTTTTTCCCCCGTCCATTCAACACTAGTTTTCATCCCCTCAGCACCCTTGTTTTCTCTCTGGGGCACGCATTATCGATGTTCCTTTCACGTAATTAGCGAACCCGACACGCCATTTAGGGCGGCGTTACACGCGCGACGATTATCGATCTGTGGTCGAACGCGAATTGTTCTCCTTTCCCGGTTGTTTTCCACCCACCCCTTGTGTTTCTCTTTCTCCCCCATTCTCTCTCTCTTTTGTCTCCGAACTTTACAATTTTAACAAAGAGAGAGAGAGAGTGGTGGTATTCGATAAACGTGTGCACGTCTAACTTTTTATCTCTCATTTTTTCTGGGGGGGTATTACAATCGAATTCTTTGGATTTTTTTTTTCGTTGGACAGTTTCGGAACACGTTATTGGATATTCAGAGCTCGTGACGATCCGCGTTGCTCGTCAGCTTGAATCACGGTCGTTGGCCGATTAATTAATTATCGTTAATTGGTGGCGTGTGCACGGTGAAAACCGGACGAATTTCGGCTGGAGTTCCCGATAGTTAGTGTACATGTAGAGTTTGGTCCGGAAAATTTCAATCTAGTTTAATGCAAATGTTTCTTCGTTTTTTTTTTCAGAGTGAAAATAGAACGACGAATATTTGACCACAGATCATATGTCGTTGTGTAGCTCGATTATGTTGTTTAACTATATATATATCTCTTTCACAATATAATCCTCCACCGAACGTTTTTTGGAATGTGCCTGCTGTAAATGCATCACGCTCTAGTCTTGTTTTTTCTTGATGCACCTGAGTCTGTAACTAAATAGAAAGGACCGGATATCTGGTCCGGCTTCCGTAACCAAAAAATCCAGTTCGAGAAAAAATTCTTAGTCCTCACAGTTTTAACTTCCCACGTTTGTTACCCGCGCCTTAACCACACGTGCTACACTTGCACGGTAGACTGATTGTTTAATAATTATTCCGTTGTTGTTGTTGATTGTTGTTGTTTTTTTTTACTGTTGCTCGTTGTATCCAAGTTTTCTAGCTTGTGTAACCAGCTGCGCCCAGTACTCTGTCCTCGTACTAGATTCGCCCGTGCGGATTTCTGTTTCTTGGAGAGATCGAGGAGCGTTTTTAATGTTAAAAAAAGAGGCACTTTGCAAATTGAAAGATTTGAGATAGTTAAGAAATTTGAAACAACCGTTTAGCTGTGAGAGATTTTATTGTGTGGACTTTGAACGCGAGATCTTTTGCTTTGCCTTTGAATTTGGTTTTTATTGAATTTAAATGAAAGCGCGGGAAAAATACAGCGCGCAAAATTTCGAAGCGTAGGATTTTTGGAGTCTTTAATTTTCAACGTATCCTCCTGAAATTTATTTTACTAAATTTATATGAAAGCGCGGGAAAAATATAGCGCGCAAAATTTCGAAGCGTAGGATTTTTGGAGTCTTTAATTTTGAACGTGTCCACTTGAAATTTATTTGATTAAATTTGAACGAAAGCGCGGGAAAAATATAGCGCGCAAAATTTCGAAGCGTAGGATTTTTGGAGTCTTTAATTTTGAACGTGTCCACTTGAAATTTATTTGATTAAATTTGAACGAAAGCGCGGGAAAAATATAGCGCGCAAAATTTCGAAGCGTAGGATTTTTGGAGTCTTTAATTTTGAACGTGTCCACTTGAAATTTATTTTATTAAATTTAAACAAAAGCGCGCGCAAAATTTCAAAGCGTAAGAATTCTACACAATCTTCTATTTTGCCTGTATTCTCTCAAAATTTGAAAAAACACTAAAAGACTTAATATCTGAAAAAGACTCAGGCACAGATATTCAAATATTCAATTCAGTTTCACCTAAAATCAAATTTTATTTTACCAAAGAGAAAAAAGATAACAATAAGTTACAGTAACAAAGTATCGCTAGCTAAAAGCTCTCTTCTCTCCCCTCGACGAGAGTGGAAAAAAAAAAAGAGAAAAGAGTCTACGGAGTAAAAGAGAAAATTTCTACGAGCACTCCTCGATCTCCACAAAGCGGAAGTTCGGCGTGGACCAAGGCGGAAGCGTAACGGCACGATTTAGCTTGAGCCACACGCACACAGGGTGACGGCGCGCGGACAAAAGGTAGGCAGAAACATCAGTTTTTATTGCTCTGCTGTCCGGATCAAACGACGAGAGAGAATCCGTCTACCGATCGATCTGGACCGGATACGCCTCTGTTTCCAGCCATTTCCGGCCACTGAAATGGCCGTCGTCTTCGAACAGGAACCATTTCTTCTCTAATTGTCCCTGGAAATTCTACCTTTCAGACACTTTTAACCACCGAAAAAAAAATACCCTCGTTCTCTCAACTGGTTACTCCTCGATTCGAAAAACTTCTCTACCCCTTCTCTCCTTTTTTCTCTTCCATCCCTCACCGGATGAAAAGCTTGGTCCAATCGGCCAGAATTTTCTCTCTCTTCTTTGGAAAATCAGCCTTTCTTCGCTTTCAATCTGCTCGAAAATGATCGTTTCTGTCGAGAGAGCCTTCTATCTGTGTTTTTTTCAATTGCTCTCTCGTTGGTTCTAACCACGTTTGCAGTTCGTTGAAGAATCAATGGAAGGAGAGGGGAAAAAAGGAAAAACGAGGCTAATGACCATCTTTTCTCGAGGCGGCTGGCCTGTTTGAGATCCCTTAAGAATTCATGGAACGATGTCTCATCTTTTTCAAGGATATCCACCGGTCCCCGTGGCTTCGGGACGTGAATTGCGCCTGGACGTGTCTGCCACTACCCGCCAGATGTTACAAATGGCCTTATCAGGGTTGAGGAGGCACTTGTATTTGCCGGGATTGAGGTGTGCCGACCAAGTAGACCTTCTTCTCTCCTTTCAGCCTGTTTTTCTCAGGCCAGATGCAATTTTCCTGAAATATTCCTGACGTTTCTTCGCCGTATCGTTCGTCATCCACGGGGAAACAAGGTGGCTTCTGTGTTCACTTTGCGCAATTCTACTAGAAACGCATTTCTTACTTCCGCCGAATCTTCGATCTTTCCGCGAGTTCAGATTCAGCTTTCGTTGTTTCGACTTGCTCAGGTAAATGATTCTTCTTTGTTCTTCACTCGGATCATGCTCAGATAGAACATACCAAGGTAGATCGTAGCGCAGGGTAGAATAACGCAGAAAAGGAAGCTCGTGAGGACTCTGCACAGTGGTTTCTCCAGGAATCTTTTACACCTGTCCAATAAGCTCCGTATCTTGGATCTCTCTTGAGGAATTCGATCTTCTATATTTTCTGGAACGAAGAATCTCACGGAACTAACTGGCCTCATGTGAGTGCCACTTTTCATGATGGATCTTAATGGCTCTCTTATGGGTACTGGGTCGCTGGAATCACCGGTGCTTATGCTCACGTGTCTCTCTTGATCGTAGAATGTGTCTGATGTGGTTGGCTCGTTGTGATTCGGTGTTCGTAATTGTCGAGTGGCCGACATTACCTGTTTTCGACTGGATTGATAGTTCTATAGCCACGCAGGTCTTCCATTCCATAGTAGTTTCTTGTAATTAAATGAAAAATACTATTGTTCCCTAGACCTGTCTATTCTTTGGATCAAAATTACGTCCTTACTTCATTTCTGTCGTTAAAATACCATCCTCCACGTTCTTTGACCCCAGCATCGTGCCAAGAATTGTTCACTTTTCAGAGAAGATTCTCACTGGTGAAAGATGCCGTATCCTCGACGCTGTTAATACTGATCCGTGAATTTCCAACGAAAGCAAAGAAAGATGTGTCTTCCTTCGTGTGTAACAGAGCCCCTCGGTCCGTTGAAACAAAAATTCCCTCAGCTTTCCCTGCAATTCGTTCTCAGCGTGAATGTCTCGTCTCGTCTCGTCTCGTCGTCGCCCTCCGTTGATAATTCTCCCAGTGGCAAAATAGAAGCAGCGAAGCGGTCATGGCCGGCAGAGAAACTCACCCGGCGTTTTTGAACAGGCGCTAGGAGAAGGTAGGCAAGCATTCGCATGTGCGTCCGTGTGTGTTGTTACAGCAGCGGCATTGAGAGGAGTAGCGATCCAACGTGGAAGAGTGAGCGCTGCGAGGGCAGCCTTTCCGACCAGTGCAGCAGCTTTGGCCCTAGCCAGGAACCCGGGCCCGCTCGCAGCTGCAGCTGCGGCTACGGCCCTGCACCCCTTCGCTCCTGCGTAAGTAGACGCCGAAGAGGCGCCGAGTCCTGGACGCCTGTTCGGTAGAGAATTCTTTCGGTATTTCGAGGTCGCCGCGGGCGTGATTGTGGGGCGCGATGAGGCTCGGTGGTGTCCCCGTTTGGCGGAATTTTCGGGGTTTCGAGAATTGGGGTACGCGGGAATTTGGGAATGTGATGATTAGAGATTTGAGAGTTCGGGGATTTGGATATTTGAAAGTTCGGGAGTTTGGAAATTTGAATGTTTAAAGATTTGAGAGTTTGATGCTTAAGAAATTTGGATATTTCAGAGTTTGAAACTTTGGATATTTGCAAGTTTGGAACTTAAAAAAGCTTGAAACTTGGAATATTTGAAAGTTTGAAACTTTAACAGCTTGAAACTTGGAATATTTGAAAGTGTGGAACTTGAAAAATCTTGAAACTTGGAATATTTGAAAGTTTGGAACTTAAAAAAGCTTGAAACTTGGAATATTTGAAAGTTTGAAACTTAAAAAGCTTGAAACTTGGAATATTTGAAAGTTTGGAACTTAAAAAAGCTTGAAACTTGGAATATTTGAAAGTTTGGAACTTAAAAAGCTTGAAACTTGGAATATTTGAAAGTTTAACTTAAAAAGCTTGAAACTTTGAATATTTGAAAGTTTGGAACTTAAAAAGCTTGAAACTTGGAATATTTGAAAGTTTGGAACTTAAAAAGTTTGAAACTTGGAATATTTGAAAGTTTGATGCTTAAAAAGCTTGAAACTTGGAATATTTGAAAGTTTGGAACTTAAAAAGCTTGAAACTTGGAATATTTGAAAGTTTGGAACTTAAAAAGCTTGAAACTTGGAATATTTGTTGAAATTTTGAATATTTGAAAGTTTGGAACTTAAAAAGTTTGAAACTTGGTATATTTGAAAGTTTGAAGCTTAAAAAGCTTGAAACTTTGAATATTTGAAAGTTTGAAACTTAAAAAGTTTGACACTTGGAACATTCGAAAGTTTGAAACTTTAGAAATTTGAATATCCAAAGATCTGAGATCTCAAAAACTTGAAAATTTCAATACTCAAAACTGTGAAACGTTAAAAATCTAAAACTCGGAATATTCTAACATTAAACTTAAAAATTCGAGTGCTCCAAAAGTGCCGAAGAGTCCCGTTGCAAAGTGTCAAAGTTCGCCAAGATTCGAGTCAAATCCCAATTAACCAGTCGTAGTTTCGAAGTTTAAACGGTCGCGTGACACAAACTTTACGGAGATACGCGATTTAAGTTTCGCAAAAGAGAAACCTAACTTCACGCGTTGTACGAAGCACGACAAAAGAACACTCGTTCTATCGTTTGTTCCAGGCACAATGCCTGCTAATATCGTTGTACAAACTCCAACGACATCCTGCCTCCTAGAAACTTCTTACAACCGTGTAGAAAAATAGCCGAGCAACCTACAATTATTTCCCTTTAAACCTCCCATCGAACCTTTCAATTCTACATCAATCGTATTAAAACACGTTAAAAAGTTTCGTTGGAAAGAAAACACAGATAAAAAGTAAATTGCAATTAAGCTAAAGCTTAACTGGAAAACTCCGAAGAACAGAAACCCTCGCTAACGTTACCACCACTTTGCGACGGACCTATTTCGTCAAATTTCTCACAACGTTTCAACGACGGATGAATATTTCCCCCTTTTTTTTTTTTTCTCCCCTCCGACGAAACGAGGAGCACTTGCACAAATATCTAAATCACTGACCCGAATTACTCTACATATCACGGTCCGGAGTCCCTCGAACGCAACAGCCGGCCGTAATTTCGCGTGGAAATTCACACTTCGTTCACAAGCCGGTTCAGTTTTGCGTTTCGTCGAGTCGACCGTCGGCCCGAGAGAAATTCCGCCAATTTGTCGCCGTGGATCATCGAGCGTCATCGAAACCCAGCACGCTTCCGATTGCCCGCTGTGACCAACTTGCACGCGTGTGCGTGTGTGTGTCACGCTCGTTAGCTGTGCCTGTCGATACATATATCACCAGCATGCACCGATCTAACCTTAACGTAAGAGACGTGTCCACGATTTTCTTCCTCCAGAGAGAAATCTTCCGGCCTTTTAGTCAACCTCGACGAAAACTGTTTCGACGATAACGACGTCCTTCCTCTTGAAAAACGCGGCTTGATAAGCGTGGTTGTGTCGCGGATGTTGGAAATGTCGGTAGGAAAATTTGACGACGAATTGGAATCGTGATCGTTCTGACGTTGTTTAGTAAGATGTACAGGGTGGACCAATAATTGCCATCTTGAATATCTTGAAAATCGTGAAAGTACGAATCAAATTTTTATTTTTTAAATTGTCCGCTGTACAAGGGGCCATCTCGTGATCACGACGATTTCTTTATGGGTGAAGTCACCGAAGAGATGCGAAGATACTCTTGTGTTTTTATTTGTTTGGTAATAACAGCCCTTAAATTAATACGAAGACTTATCAGTTCATTTTATATAGTACAAATTTTATTGGGACAATTTTCTTCCTACTTTTGTGGTTTCGAGGATATACAAGGAGTATGCGAACGTTAGAAAGTTAGAATAGCTGGGTAATGAGGTTGGCGGAGGTTATTAAAATAATCGCGGGAAAAAAGTTTCTCCCTGATTTTGGTCGATGGAAAGAATGTTTACCAAGCGAGCTCGAGGGAGAAACAACGCGCGGCGGTTCGTTTGCCGATAAATAGCTTGGTTCGTTAATTAAACAATTCCAGTCGGTGGAAGCGCGGATGAGAAAGGCCGATGGAAAATTGCGAGGCCGTTGATATTTCCGCCTGTGGCGGCCATATTTTCCCCTCGATCAATCCTCTGTTTTATTGCTCGTAAATAAGGCCGGCGTTCGAAACGCGGGAACCGCCATGTTTTTTCAGAGGAAGGACGTTGTTTTCCCGTTGATTTATGAATTTTCGTTGACTTGGCTCGAAATGACCAGATAACCAGTGACGTATAAACTCTCGACGGGTGAATAGAGGAGAATTTTTCTACCTATCTTTCTCTCTCGCGCGAATATCGATGGAAGTTCCGCGGAAACGAGAGTCAGATAAATCTGCGAGAGAGGGAAAAAATTGAACGATCGCAATCGCGAGAATTTCGACACACCGCGCGTGATTCTTTCTTTCTTCTTGGAAAATTGCGATGCGCACAGTTTGGAGCCGTGGAAATTCGAAAAAAGAGGGGAAATGATCGTTTCGAACGCGAAAATCGAGAGGCAAACCGGTGAAATTCATCAAACCGGAGGAGTGTTTGTCGAACGAGAGGAACGAGTAAACACGTCGCGGGTGAAAGATGTTTTCGTGAGAATTCGTGGTACACGTTCGGTTTCGAAAGTTCTCGTCGAGACAAACAGGCAGCTTCTGTTCGAAAATGGAGGAATTAAATTGGAGCCCCTGCGACGCTGTTTGTTATCGCGCGTCGAACTCGAAGCAGCGTTACATCGTTCGAATCTCGTTTATCCAACTCGATTAGAACGATTTTTGCCTCCTGTTTCCGTCAATGCCTCCTTTACAGAGAGTTCGAAGCAACCGGTGTCTTTTTCGGAGGAGAAGTACGGCTCTTAAGTGAGAAATAATAAGAAGACACGCCTGTTGCGGGCGTTGAAGTCTCCGGAAAAGAAATCTCTTATTTCCAATATTTCCAACTTCTCGCTAGTTTCTCGTCGATGAAAATTATCCGGTTGATCTAGTCGTACAGAGGGAATGTTGGAACGTCGAAAAAGATACTGGTTGCAAGAAAAGAAAAATTTGGAAAAATGGTGGAATTAATACGAACGATTTTTATTTTTGCAGCGTTTATTACGACCCGTTCCTAGCAGCGCACGCAGCGACGCAGGATCCCAACTACAGGCTACAGGTGAGACACGGCATTTCCCTGATTTTCCGCCGGAAATTGTCGCCGGTGCTCTGTTTCCGGGGCGCGAGCAGCGACGAATGAGTTTTTAATTAAATCGAGCAACGCCTCCGGCCAGATTGAAACGTCAGCGCGCTTAATCGATCACCTTTCAGACGCTGCCGATAGATTATCGTGAATTAATTGGTAAACGAACCCGCTAGGATCGTTGGCTTGTGTATCGATTTCCGTCCCTCGATCTAATCGGGGCCCCGGTGAAAATTGAACGCTGCTGATCGCCTGAAAAATTCGAGATTAGTAAGCACTTTCGTGGCAATCTTTTCGAATCGCTTCATACTTGGCAGATCTTCTGAATAACAATTTTTCTAATAAAAATTCTGCAAATTCAACGTGAAAAGGATAAAGTAAGCTTTCATATTCAAGAGAAACATTGGCGCAAACGTTGGTTATTCTTACTCCGAACACGAAGACAAGCGAGAGTTTCGTTGTTTTCCCTGTAAAAAGCTGTCTGCGGTATAAATCGATACGCGAACACTAGTCGCGATTCGTCGAAGCACTCGAAACGTCGTCGATCGCGCCGCATAAAACAGAGCACCGGACGTTCGAACGAGAAAGAGAAAAAAAAATGAAACGAAGTAAAAAGAACAAAACGAGAAGTAACAAAAAAAAAATAGAACAGAGAGAGAAAAGAAGGCACAGAAATATTGACTAAAGTCTGCAACTGTTCCGGACCCGTTTAGCTGGAATGGCCTCAAGCAACAGCTGACGTTAGTTGACACGTTTTGCCAGGCTTGCACACACGTGAAACGCAGAGAGCCCGATAACAATTACGCCATTCCTATCTCGTTTCTGCGTTCTTTCATCTGTCGTCACTCTCGCCCGTTTTTTTTTTTTTTCACCCGCCTGTTCCTCTATTTCTTTTTTCTTTTCCCTTCACCAACCTCTCCCTTCGCGTTTCTCTTTCGAGCTTTTCCACCGTACGCGAAAAATCCACGGTGAATCTCGTTCGAACGAGATAAAGGGAGTGGCAGAGAGATAAAAAGAGGAATTTACCGAAAAAAGAAAAGAAATAAAGATAGAGAGAGAAATTGCAAAAGAGCGAACGTAGGAAGGAGGTAACGACAGATGTCGTTTTCGAGTCGAAACGGAATGTTAAATAATTTCAAACGAAGCGCGCTGATTTTAGTAACTCTTCTCGCTTGTTTCGAAAATTCGTTCTCTTTTGCAGTTTCAAAAAGAAGAGAATCTCTCTGGAATTCAACGAATCCCTCGGTTGACACGTTCAAGCCAACTCGCAGAGATTGATACGGGCTGAAACAACAAGTCCACTGTATTATATTCCTTTTTTTTTTTTTTTTTTTTTATTTTCGTTAGCACCGCTGTCAGCGGTGAAATTTCCAATTGGATTGAACGTGTCAACGCTCTCTGTTCCATCGAAAACCCGTTTCTGTGAGGAACTATACCGTCACTTTTTCATACCTTTCTAAACGAGAGACGTTTCCAGTTACACTTTTATTCGAAAAAAGAGAAAATCCTTGGAAAAATCATAGAAACGGGAAATTTTCAAAATCTGCAAACGTCTCTTGAACTGAAGTCATTGCACACTGTCACACAATCGTGCAGCATCTTGTTGCATTTTGTCGCCTGATTTCCCCTTCATCTTTTTCCATCTCATTCTCTTCTTTACTCGAAATCTCATCGAGGAAAAGAACTAGACGCGCATACGCGAAATCGATTTTGCCGCGCGAGAAAATGAAAAAAAGAACACGTTTGCCAGGGACACAATGTATATATAATGAACAATCGACGTGAAGAACGACGATGATCTAACACACGCGCGACAGCGATATATAAAATCCGCCGCCCCGTTCTTTTGGCCGGAATTTCTTTTCAGGTTTGCCGTTTGTGTTTCAGGCTAAAGCGCCCGCCCTGGAGGTAGGAATTTTAAGGGTCCGCCCTGAGTGAACTTTCTTCGCCCGTTGTTTGACTGTTTTTTCTCTCATCTTCTTTCTACTTTTCTTTTTATTTTTTAATATTTTTTTCAATATTCGCCCCCACCCCTTTTTTTCTCTTCTCTCCCTCCTCCTACCTGTCTCTTCTTTGCTGGTTTCTCTCTCGTTTTTTTGGACCTGGCCAATCAAAGGAGTGCTCACCGATCGTCACGCCACCGTATATATACATCACACTTTTTTACCTTATTATTGTTGGAGAATATAATGTTCTTCTTTTGTTTCTCTGATTTTCTCCTCCATTTTCTTTCTCCACCAACCCCAGAGTAAATTGTAATAGAGTCTTGCCGGTTTCTTTACGCTTCTTTCTCTCTATTCTATGCTTCTTCCAGAGTGTGTGATTTTATACATTTATTATTATCGTTATTATTATTGTTAATTATTTTTGAGTCTATGTAATGCATGAACTTATCTAGTAGTCTTTGTTCCTTATCTCTTCTTTTTTTTTTTTTTTTTTTCTTTTTTGAAGATTTTTTTTTTTCTATATATATATATATACATAATGTATCACGATTTTTATTTAGGAGAAAGTTTCTCGCCGACGACTGCTACCTTTCTCTAATCGTTCGAAGTACACGGAATGTTTTTTTGGATAGTTCAGGTTAAGATCATTATCCTGTGAACGGTGCAGAGAGATTGTGAGGGGTGCAGATTAGTTTAGGGCAATTTTTCTGGAATTTTAATATTCAAAATAATCTCCAAGAGTGTCATCTCTTTTGACACAGAAAGAAAATTATTCAGGTTTTATTTGTGAAGAATCAAACGCGAATTTAATATTCAAAGTACAGTAAATTCTCCACAAGTGTCAGTCCTCAAGGAACCTAAACCTGACACTTGTAGAGTCAGGGACTACGTTTTCGAGCCTCGCGCCCGCCTTTGTAGTTTGCCGAACGTAGATAAGGACAGCGAATAAAAGATAAGGATGAAACGTGAGTCGATTTAAATATCAACTTTTTTAATTTTACGTTCCCGAAATTTTTCTTAACATATCGATGAGATTTTTCTGATGAAAATGACATCAAGCACGACATTATTTGAACAACATTTAAATTATATCGTGTTTGATATCATTTTCATCAGAAAAATCTCACCAACATGTTAAAAAAAATTTCAGATGAAAAAAAGGAAAATTAAAGAAATGATATTTTTCTATTATGAATCGTCGAGCCGTGAAATCTCGTAAAAGTAACCGAGTGGTGTAGCGTTACACGCTTGAATGACAGCGAGCGAGGATAACATAGGCGTAGGACCATCTGTACTGACACTTGTAGAATCCAAACTGACTGACACTTGTAGAGAATTTACTGTAATCTTCAAGACTGTCGTCTTTTTTCAAAAATAGAAAATTCTTCAAATGGACTTTCTTATAAATTTTATTATTCATCTGTAAAGAATCAAACGCAAGTTTCCAAGACTATCATCTTTTTTCATACGAAAAGAAAATTCTTCAAATGGACTTTTTTAGAAATTTTAATACTTATCTGCGAATAATCAAACGAAAATTTCATCTTCAAGACTGTCGTCTCTTTTCGCAAAAATAAAATTCTTCAGATGGACGATAAATGGAAAAATGTCATCCGAAATAGCAGAAATTATCTTCGTCTCGCAAACAAGCATTGAAATTTGCGAAAAAAGGCCCAGAATTAATTTGCACACCTAATACCCAAAGTGTTCCCATAAGTCACTTCACTGTTTAAAAATTAATCAAACTTTGGATGCAAATTTCTTTTGGAAAATACGCTAGAAAAAGTGTTGTCCAATTTTTAAACGACGAAGTGACACATGGACCACCCGGTACCATCGAAAAAACGTGTTTCTCCCATCGACATATACAGAATTTCTGCGCCCATTCCCGCCCTCCATTAACGCGAGGATCCAGTCTGGCAGCGAGCGAAATGGCTGGAAATTGGTGAGCACTCCGCAGAGCCCGGCGAGTATCTTAGAAAGAGTTGTTTTAGCTAGTTTAGAGTTGCTCCGAGTTCACCCTGTCCCGTTTCCACCCCCTCGACAACCCTTACGCGACAGATTCACCCGGTTGAAATTAGTTCTCCGGCGGCGACTTAATCGAGAAACGCGTTAGCCCGCCGCCCTTAGTGTTGCCGCGTGCTCGGGGTGGTTCGCCGCTTTTCACGAAAATCGACGCGTTTGTAGTGACTTGCTGGAATTCCAGGATAAAGGCTCGAGTCCCTCGTCGAACGTTCCTCGCCCTCCTTTCGAGCCGATTCTCGAAACGTTTTAGTCGATTCGGTGTGTCGCTTTTGAAACTTCTGTTTGGAGACCGTGCTTGGGATCCTGTAATACGAAACGAAGGGATTTGTAGTCATTCGCGAGTCTTTTAACCCTTTTGTGAGACAATTTCTTTTTTTTTTTAATTTTTGAGATTTTCGTATTTATCGAGCATCGCGTGTGTAATGGATATTAAATTGAGATCTGTTTTTGTTAGACTCAAGTGGAAAAATTTCATTCCACTGGTCAGTTAACCCTTTCGTGAGCCAAATATTCTTCTTTTTCATTTTTCATTATTTACCAATCATCGCGTCTGTGATTGATATTAAAGTGAGATCTATTTTTGTTAGAGTGCTCAAGTGGAAAATTGGTGACTCCACTTACCCCTTTCGTGAGCCAAGAATTTATTTTTTTAATTTTAAATTTTGTGTTATTTATCAATCATCGCGTTTGTCGTGGATATTAAATTGAGATCTATTTTTGTTGAAGTACCCAAGTGGAAAACTTGCATTCCGCTGGTCACCAAAGGGTTAACTTAACACTTTCGTTTTCCAAAAATTCTTCTTTCCAATTTTTAACTCGTCCTCCAATGTCTGCGATAGAAAGGGTTAAAGTTCGCCCAATTCTAAGCTTCCTGAAATAAAAAAGAATAATTCATATCTCCCCTCTAAAGTATCACACAGCTAAATAGAATAACTGTGACGATCATCGGAGCATCCTGTGATTTATTTCATTACCTTCGTTCGTGCTTGCAAAGAGAATATCGAG